CCAACAATTTACGTTTATGCAAATTAAGGGCCAATTTATGCATACATATATAGCAATTAAACATTTAATTTCATTTTTCCTTCTTTATTTTATTATATATATATATATTGTATACCTATATATTATACATATTGTATACATGGAGAGAATTTTCTCTTAAAATTTACCCTATCATTAGAAGAATTTTATAAAAATTTATCTGATTAATACAATAAAAAGTATGAATATGTACATAGTAAAATTAATCGAACGCATATTTAATATCTTATTGTGCGGTAGATATTCTTTTTTTCATTGTGGTAAATATTAATCAGATAATATTTTAGCCAGAGAAACTCTTGTAAAATTCTTATCATGATTTTCAGGGTAAATTTTAGGAGAAAATTCTCTCTGTGCTTATTATTTTAAGCTCATCAGATTTTATTTATAAATATAGGAGATCAAGCCACTAAATTCACGTCGAATTATTAATTTATTAGCGCGTGTACGCGAGAGAGGAACAAGTTTGTATCTTTCCGTTCTCTTGGCGTCAGAAAGTTACTTTTCAAGAGGACATTAAGAGCTTAAGAGATTTGAAAAAAATTGCAGTCCTACACGGCCGCATCTCGTTTATGCACATCTGCTCGTTGCCTGCGCACGAAAGAGTCCCTCCTCGTCTCTTATATGTATATACGTGTACGAGCGCGCGCATACCTCGCATACCGTTTCTTCACCTTGAAAGAATACGGCGACACACCGGGTGTTCGCGATTAACTTTCCAATGATTTCGCCGAGACGGGATTTCGAACGCGATATCGCTGCGTTATTTCTTTCAAATCTTCAATTAAAATTCGCGCGAACGACGTCCATTAGAAGTCACGTGTGTTACATCAAAAGTTAGGAATGATTTTATTAATATCTACAAACTTAGAATTTCTTTTATATAATATATTTCACGAAAGATTTTCACGGTAATTTCTCCAAATTAATAGCGGAGGTCGAAAAAAGCGCATTCCAGGATATCGCGAGCGCGCTATAATAGAGCATAACAGAGAATCTGTCCGAGAATAAAAGAGAGATCGCGCGGATACACATTTCTCCGGTATGTGGCGCACATCCTGGAGCCATCTCTTTCTCTCGTCCTTAGAAGAAAGCACCAAGATACACACGTAGAGCGCGCCAATTAGCGGCCGCGTTATGATAATACACACGCCGATATGATAAACTCGCGCTCTCCGCTTACTTGCATTTCATAAATTGCAACGCGGAAGATTGTGAAACGGAGACGATAGCGCATAAATATTATAATGCAGCGTGCTGTTATGGAGCGAGTTTACTCGGTTTAGAAAACGCGAGCCATGTGTCGAAGCTGCTCCTCGCGACCTCGTGTCAGATTGTGACGTCAGAGGCGAGAAAACGCATGTTGAACATTTTTGCGTGATGCCACATTTTTAGGTAAAAGATATTTTAACGAAACACAATTTTAGGTGGTTTTAATACACCTTTAGAATATTCCGAAAACTTTTTTTTCCCTCGACAGTCTATCGACAATCTGTAAATAATTGAAACATTGAGAAAATATTGTTTCGAGATATTTTCGAAAGATACTAAAGCCATCTAAAGTTGCGTTTCGTCAAAATATTCTTTTATTTAAAGATGGCTCGTAAAATTTTCAGCGTGTATTTTCTCGCCTTTGAAGTCACAATTTAAATTGATGTCCTCCGAAAACTTATTTTCCCTCGACAGTCAATCGACAATCTTTAAATAACTGAAACATTGAGAAAATATTTTTTCGAGATACTTTAGAAACATACTAAAGCCATTTAAAATTGTGTTTTGTCAAAATATCCTTTTACCTAAATCACAATTTAACACTCCTGCGGCGAGGAGCCTTAATGTGCGAGATGTCACCTCTCCTGCTGTGCAGCAATATTTGCGAAGAATTCTAGAACCGAAGAAAGGAAAACTCGTTTAAATTCCTCTTGCCGGAGCTTCTGAAAAAAATAATATATATATCAACGATGAATACCGTTAAATACCGGATGATTCCGACCGTGCGGTATTTAACGGCGAGTTCGAGAAAAAAAGAATAAAAGGGCAAACACTCGGAGTTGGTTCGCGTTGCAACACAACGTGTGCGCGGCGGCGCAGACGTGGTGAGCAGGAAGTGACATCCGGTCGGTCGGTCGCTCTCTTCTCTGTGGCCGGATCCACGACACGGCCGTGCGTTTCGCACGCGTTCGCTCGGCTCGTCTCTCCTATTCCGCCCAGGGACGACTCGTCAATGGCTAACCATGGCCGAATCATCCGTCTGGTTTTATCGTATCGCCGATGATGCGTCAGCGAAGCGAGAGAGAGCAGTTGTATACACAGGGTGTCCCTAACCGAGCTTGCTCTTCAAGTGGTGCTTCCGCGAACAAAATCTGTCTAAAGTTATAATTCAAGAAAGTTATGTGTCCAGCTCGTATAAAATATAATAACAATTACTGGTAATATAATAATATAAAAAATATAATATCAACAAAATTCAGACAATAGCACCGCTTTGGAATTTAATAAGTGATTAATAACGAAGAAAGAAAATTGGAGAAAAATATGACGAAGATATATTATTGATTGAAATTGAATTTTCTCTTAGAATTGGGACAATATATGGTATTGGAAGGATTTTATAAGAGTTTCTCTGATTAATATTTACCACAATGAAAAATATTTATATGTACATAGTAAAATTAATCAAACATTTTACATCTTATTATAGTAGATTTTAATATTTTTATGGTAAAAATAAATACCATATTGTCTCACGAGTACCATGATTTTCAGGGTAAATTTTAAGAGAAAACTCTCTCTGTGTAGACTGTAAATAAATTAAAGTCTCCTAATTGCGAAACTTATCTAAAAATGCATAAAATTTTCGAAAATGCAAGAGTTGCGTGGCAAAATGAAAATCTGTGACGCGCGATAGTCAGGCGATCGATACACGAGGGCGATGCAAGAGAATCTTGGATGCTGCTCGAAAGATACGTCCTGATGCACCGTCGCGAAAACGACGCATCGGACAAAGAGAGAGAAAGAGAGAGGAGGAAGAAGGGGGCAAAGAAGACTACGAGGGAGAGATCGACCGACTAGCCGGCTCGTTCTTTCTCGTTATCGAAGAGGCGTGACCGCGCGAGGTCACTGATAAACGATAACGGGCGGGGTCTCTCTTTCTCTCTCTTTCTCCTTATCGACGTGCAACGACGATGTGTGCGCGCGAAACTACGAGGCCGGCGAGAAACGCGATCGCTTTCTAAAATAGTATGCCGTTTCGCTCGAGAAAATCGATAGGGATACCGATGCGACAGTCGCATCGATGTTAAAAGTCCTCGCGTTTTGCAGTCACATGGAATTCTGACGATCAGGAGCGAAAGATGCGCCGTGGGGGGTTTTTTTTTTATATTCTATTACTGTCGAGATTAAATCAGTTTCCTCACGTTAAGATTATTTCGCTGGCTGTATAATTTATTAGCAATTGAAGCTTGAGAATAATATATATAATGTGTAATAATATTACTATCAATAATAATTTTAGCGGTACTACTAATATTCCTAATTTTTAATTTTTGTCTCGTGAATTTTTAAATTTTACCATTGCACATTTTTTTCTTTTATTTGGAGAAAAAATGCAAGAACTTGTAAGGCATATCAAAAAATTATTTTTGTACAGCAGTTTCTAGATAATTTTTTTCTCTTATGTACAATAGTTTCTTTTTTTATTCGCGAAAGGAATAATACACTCATATATATATATATATATATATAATATATATATATATATATATATGCATTTGCTGAATTATTGACGCGGACAATTTGTGCTACAAGAACGGCAATTATTTTTGGAATAGCTAAATCGAGGATGTCTTTCTTGATTCAATAAAATGTCAACATGGTAACGACAACTCACTGTAAAAAAATTTTGTGTAAAATTACAACTATTATAGTGGGTAATAATAGGACCCACTATAATAGTTGTAAATTTCCACGCGTTTGTAAATTTGCAATGTAGAAGTAAAATTAATTTCTTCATTTGTAATTGAGCTGATTGCAGAAGTAAATTCACAATATATATGTAAAATTATAAAACGGTAATGTAAAAATATTTTTTACAATTGTATTATTAAACATTCAAATATTAAATTTACACAACAGAGTGTAAATGCACAAAATGTGAACTTAATAATAGTTCACGCGTTTGTATTGTTACAAATAGAAATATGAAATTCACATTGCAGAGATTATGTTTACCACACCTTTTTGTAATATAATTCTGCATGTTTGTGATATTACACTTTAAAATATAATTTTTACTACAATTATTCAGGAAGATTATACCAGTTAGTAATATATATATATATATATATATATATATATATATATATATATATATATACATATATATATAATTCTCAATATGCCGCGTGATTAAAGAAATACCCTGTTTCAAAAACCTTCAATCATTTTTATTGACAATGTTAATAGCAAAAAATAAAAGATACATATTTCATTAAACTGTAATATATAATATAATAATTATCTAATGTAATATTAATAATAATAACTTTTTGTTGATACTTATTCAAATAATTCATATTACATTTGCAAAAATAAACGTATATATGAATTTCTTTTAGTAATACCAAAATAAAGACAATTTAAAAACTTTATATTTAGCATAAAAAATAAACCCATTAATTATATGTATTTAGTAATATAAAAATAAATATATTAATTATATATTTAAGAATAACTAACGAAAATAAATTCTTTATATTTGAGATTACAAAACAAAAATATATTAATAAATTATATTTAAAAATATAAAAAAAATAAACTCACATTATAATTTTACAACAGTAAAAAATATTGTAATATAGATATTGTTATATACTTTATAACCAAAATCATTGTTTCTTCGAAGTCATCGAATTATTAGTATAATCACCAAGAGATTCTCATTGCAAAATAATATATGTAGCGTGTTTTCAAGTGGTTTTTATTTTGATCTTCATATGAAGCTTTTTATAGACTTTCACATAGAATATAGAATATAGTGGTAATAGATTATATTTCTACTTTTGTAGAAATCTGAAACAAATAAAAATAGTACAGATTATAAAACAAGTATTAAAATGTATAAAGATATAAAGTGTATTACATATTTAATATAAATAACGTATATCATAATTTTTTAATATGAATAATGCTTACTTTTATTTTATGTTTGTTACATGTTATCTGTAGCAATATTTTCTTGATCTGATATGTTTCTCAATTTATTAAAAAGTGACAATACTTTGTATTTTGTTGACACCTTATGAGATTTTGAACCACAAGCTGGATGAATATTTAAAAAATATTTTTGTAAAAATTCTAAGGTACATGTACTATTTTTGGGATATTCCATATTGAAAATGTAATATACAGACATCAACATTTTTAAGGCTTCATAAAAGCAATATGTCCTTTCAATCAATAATTTTTCTATATATAAATAAAACATTCGACATGCTGGATCATCTGTAATAATTAAATATATGATAATTAGAGCAGTCACAAATATATATTAATTTACTATACTATAAAGTCAAAATATAATTAATACAATTATATAGCGAAATTACCTATGATTATAATACATGGTGCTACAACTGGTGGTTCTATATTTTCCAAGGGTGTTGCTTCCTGTTTAATAAATTAACTTTAGTTAATAAAATGTAAATTTGACACATTCATAAAAAAATTAAACACAAAACATATTTAAAAAATATTTACAGGATATGTTTTAAATAATTCTTGAAAATCTTCTTTAAAATGTTTCATAATAATTTTTATCAATTTTAACTCTGTAGGATTATTTGAATTAATGATATCTTTATATTTTTTATGCTGTCCATAAATAAGTATTTTGTCTTGTTTTTTTAAGATTTCTTGCTTTAGAAGATCTACTGAATGTCCCATTAATTGCTCGTAATGCCAAAACATATATTTTTTTTTTAAAAGAATTGGCCATGTAGTTTTAACATCTTCAATAGTAGGTGTTTTATAGACATCATTAAGAAACAATCTTTGCGCCGGATATGTAGCTTCAAGATACAAATTAATTTTATGTTGAATCTTAGGATCGCTTGATGAATCATCGTGAACTATTTGACGTAGAAATTTAGCCTTGTCCTCTATTGTCTCTTCTGTTTCTGTGTCAATATATTTTTCTGGCTGCCAATTATTACATCCAGCTTTAGCAGATAATACTTTTTTTTGTTTTTTTAGAGGTATATTTAAACTTTGACTTAGACATCTTTTCATATGTGGTCTATTTAAATAAGAATTTCGGTCTCGAAGTTTTAAATATATTGAATGAGATCCGTCTCCAAAACATCTGCCATCCTCATCCATATCTTTGAAAATTTGTGGATATTTATCGACATTGAAAATTTTGTTTAAAATATGTTTTCCTCGAATGTGTATTTCGAAGACAACCATTTATAGGATTATGAACATTTAAAAAGAAAGAATAACTACGTTGAAAAATATCTTTAATTTTTTTTTTATATCGTCTTTAAGATCGCTTTCATTTAAAGTTGTAATAAAGTGTTCTTGAATAAGTGTAAATATAGATGACATACCATCTATTACAGCTTGTAGAGCAAATTCTGTTAGGAAATATTTTGTAGTCAAATTTAAATATAATTGTGCTATAGCTTTTTCATTATTGTTCACATCACACAAAAATTGATTTAAACTTTCCTTTTGCAAAAAAAGATTGTCATTATTACTGGTATCAAAATTACTGGTATCAAAATTATTGGTATCAAAATTTATCAATTCTTTATTAGTAACAAATTGCTTATCAAAATTATCACTTGGATGATGTCTACATATGTGTACTGTATAAGTGCTGACTGTTTTGAAAATTTTATTAGTAGAACAAGCTGGATATCCGCAATAAATCCCAATTTTACTTTGTCTTATATGTTTATATAAATGTTTATTAAAATTTAATCTATCGTTAAAATGAGCATTGCAATTTCTTTCTTTACAACAATAAGTTATGCATGTTTGTTTTTTATCTGTTGAATGCTGTCTAAAAATATGTTTCTTAAAATTGAGATATTTATTAAATTGTTGCCTACAATTTTTGAACAGACAAATTATTTTTAAATACGGCATGTCTTTATGAAGAATTTGGTGCTTATTGTACAAAAGTATAGATGAAAATACACAGTTGCACATTAAACATTTGAACATTATTAATCAAAAAATTGTATATCAAAGGAAGGAAAAAATTGGATTTATGAAGGAAATTTTAGATATATTCCAAAAGTAATAACACTGTAACATTTAATACATAGAATTATTAAAAACGAAAATAAAACTATCAAATATAAATATTTTATATATAGTATATGTTCATTAACTCAGAAAATAATTATATGTGTTGTGTTTTTATATTCTCTCTTATATAGTCATTATTTTGTATTGAATTATATTCAAGATATCTAAAAATTATTCAATTTTTTTGTATAAATTATTAATGATTTAGTAATATGTTTTAGTTACGAAAAAATAATACATTTACAATTATATTGAATTTAACTAATTACAAAACATTGAATATAAAAATATAAAAGCATATGCACATAAAATGTTTTATATATGAGTTGATATTGTGTGTGTGTATTATAATAATATTTGTCATATTTAGTGTCAAAATTCAATAAAAAAAATCGATGAATTTTTTGCAACTTTTGCAATATAGATCTCAAAATAATTAAATAAATAAACTATCGAGCTTACCTTTTTTTTAAATTGAAACTTTTGAACAATAATAATATAATACAGATTATTTTTTTCCTTCAGTCTTGTAGAAATGATATTGCAACGTATCACGTTCACATGCGCACCTATATATAACATCATAAATATATATCATTAATTATATACATATAATATTTTAGGATATACCTAATAACACTTGAGAAGGGCCCGTACCCTAAGGCCGAAACGTGTACAGAAACAATTTTTTATCGACAAGTCAGGTCGAACTATTAATAAACAAAACACTATGATTTTAGGTTACGTTAATTGTACAAAAAATAGCTGATCTAAACAATGCGATGGAATTAACGCGATTGCGACTAGATAAAAATTATACTAGTATGTAATATTTTTAGATTACATTTTTGTTTCTATAGCCATGTATATATACTGTGTAAGAATTTAGCACATGCCATATAAAACATTTTTTCACATGCCATATGAAACATTTTTTCACAATATTTGTGCGCGAAATGAATGAATATCAAACAAGGAATCGCGAGTATATACATAAAAGACTTAAATTTAATATAAATATAAATATATTAAATAATTTCACTATTAAAGTCTATGTACAAAAGACCTACTATTTTTCCCTTTGCTGATTAACCTATTGTACGTGTTTCGAAGAAAATTAATAAAATATTATAGTTACCTTTCTTGTAGAAAGTTGAAACGTAGAAGGCAAGTAGACAAAAATGGATCTTTTCCTTTTCTTGTGCGGAGAGACACTCTAATACGCACTCGTAATATACACTCGTAAGACGTACTTGATATACGCATCACTGTTGATCAGTTAATAAGAACAGTAACATGTCGCGACGTGATTGCCAAAAAGCGGGAATGCGACAACAGCGCTCCCCACTTCCACCTATGATCGCGTAATATAGCGCGCATGGCATACGGATATACCACACGATTTAGAATATTACGGTTGTATTTCATAATATTACAAAAATTTCGATAATTACATAAAATATTTAAAATATTACATTATTTCGTAAGTTTCCATGTAAAACAAGATATATTTACACAATAAAAGACAAATATACATAATTTTTGTGGAATTACATAATTTCTGTAAAATTACATGATTTTTTATATTTACCAGACTAGTCATGTAATTTTTACATCTATTATTTGTGTAAATTTACTGAATTATTTTACAGTGCTGTTCGACTTATTACGCGATAAAGACGTATCTGTGCAACCTTAAATTATAAGAATAATCGATAAATATATTTGACTTTTTTCTCAATATTTTTGTTCGAACGCGGCATCGTTAAATATATCAAACCAATAACATGATCATATGATATATTCTCTTTAATCATTCAACTGAAGTTCCATTCATTCATTATTCAAGTTTCATTCATTATTCTACATATTATTACTCATTTTCTCATAACCATTTTTATATATTTTAAGGTGTTTCAGGAAGAATTGTTATAATATTCTAGAATATGATTATACACATCATTTTAAGCTTTAACTTATTAAAACCACATTCTATGAAATAATTACATGAAATAAGCTTACAATACATTTGAATAATTAATATTAATAAACAATAATTTCAATTAATTAATAATTTTGTCATGAGTAAATATGAGTGATTTTAATTACATTAAAAATATTTGTTCTTAAACTTGAACATTGTATTTTCATAATCGTCTAGAATAAGACACATGCTATAAACTTTTTGCTTAAAAATGATGTGCACAATCAAGTCTTAGAATGACCATTTCTTCTGAAACAATCTATATATGTTATTGAAGAGACTGTCTTTCTAAAATTATGTCAGATTTTAAGAGCGTATTTTAGAAATCAAAATAAGAGAAAAAAGAGAAAAAGTTTCTATAAACATGGTTCTAAAATTGCTTTTCCTTCGAGTTACAGCCCCCTAAAGTTGGAGAGAAAATCGAATCTCTGAGAGCTACAATACATTTTGTGATCTTTTTTACTCAACTTTAAGGGAATCATAACTTGAAGGAAAAGTATTTTTGAATCTATCTTTAGAGGAATTTCTTATTTTATTCCTAGAATACATCCTTAAAATCTCTGACATAGTTTTAGAAACATCCTGTATACCGTCATCTTATCTTTATATAGATAATAAAAATTATCTATATCTATCTATATCTGTATAGTCTCCCTATAGACCGTCATCTTATCTTTATATAGATAATAAAAATTATCTATATCTATATCTGTATAGTCTCCCTGTAGACCGTCATCTTATCTTTATATAGATAATAAAATTATCTATATCTATCTATGTCTCAGATGAAAGTGTTATGACTTACTGATTTATCTAGAATAATTTTCAGATAATTTGGTTTAAAATCATAGCACATAAGACTTATAAAAATACAAATATATTTTTATATTACATAACCGTCATATAATTTTATCTTTTATCTAAATATATTTAAAACAAAATCGTCTTTTCATTTTATCTAAGATTTTACATATTTCCATTCCATTCTTGACTAATTTTAAAATTGCAAGTCCAACACTGCATATTTCCATATTACGAACAATGCGAGATTCAAGAGAGATTCCTGCGTTTTAATCGAGTCCCTTTTTTTTTTGATTTTCAGAATACAAACGGTCCGAGACCGACGTACGTGGGCGCCAACAACGGTAACGCGGGCGGCGCCGGCGGTGGCGGCGGCGGCGGCGGTGGTAGTGGCGGCGGCGGCGGCGCCGCAAACACTGGCGGCGTCGGCGTGGGACCCGCGAGCGGCGCGGGCGGCGGCGGCGGTGGCGGCAGTGGCGGTGGCGGCGGCGGCCACGGATTGAAGGGCAACACGGGTGGCGGGCCGCGCGGTGGCAATCCGGTGCAGTATCGCGCGAGTGGTGGCGGAGGCGGCGGAGGAGGTGGCGGCGGCGGCGGTGCGGCCGCTTGGAGCACGGCGCCGTCTCATGCGGCCGCGGCGGCAGCGGCGGCGGCTCCTTATCCGCCTTACACGCGATATCCTAGCGCGGCGGCGGCAGCGGCGGCGGCGGCCGCCGCCGCGGTCGGCGGTGGTCCTCAACAGCTGCCAGCTTCCGCGAATCCCTTCGTCACCGCCACGTACGCGCAACACGCGACGGTAAGTCGCGGTTTGCTCGCTTTAAAGTACTTGCTGGAGATGCAACGAATACTATTCGGTGGAATACCGAGTAGTTTTCAATGGAAAATTGAAGGGAAGTAATGGCTTACCCAAGGAGCAAACTGACCTCCAATGACGTCATCGATGTCAAAATGACGTACGTTTGCTACCTAGGTTTAAAGACTGTTGCCATCTCAGCCGTGAATGTATAGTTTTAATATGCTCGAGTATCTAAATTATTTATGTATATATCTGATAAAACATATTTATTGTTACACGAGATGTATTTAATACTAATAATTTTTAAATTTAATTATAATTAAAATTAAGAAGCATAAGTTTTAATGCGAAATAAGTTTTTCTGCATTGGAAAAAAAGCAGTCTATTTCTTTTTTTTCTTCGTACATATTATTTGCTTCTGAGAAATGTCGCGCTTTGCCGAATTCGGCCATTCGGCATATAATCTCGCATAATATTCGCTATTCGGTCGAATATATTATTCGTTGCATCTCTAGTACTTTTTGATCGAAAGAGGATTCGTCATTATTGCAATATCGGTCAATAGTCCACGTGATTTTCATGTGACGAGATATAAGCATGAGATTGTTACTCATGAGAGGTAGAACAAGAAGATGGATCGTTCTTTAATAGTAGGTATTTATTAATAACTAGCTTTTCGGACCGCGCTTCGCGCGGTCCTCAAAGCCAGCCTTTCTATTCGGACCGCGCTTTGCGCGGTCCTCATATAGTCTATATTAAATCCGTTTTAACACAAAAAATTAATTCTTTTTTTGTATTACCGCGATCTACTTCCACATTTGTTGTTCGACTTTCACGAAATTTATACCAAAATAAATGTTTAAATTTTTTTGTGGATGACTACTATGTTATCTATTTCTTTCTCCCAGATATTTTATTTTCTTTTTTTAAGACACGCTTTCTCTCTCTCTCACTCTAAAACACACGCGCTCCCTCTCTCTCTCTTTAAGACACATGCTCTCTCTCTCCTTATCTCTCTCCCTCCCTCTTTCTTTAAGACACACACGCTCTCTCTCTCTCTCTCTCTCTCTCTCTCTCTCTCTCTCTCTCTCTCTCTGTCTCTCTGTCTCTCTCTCTCTCTCTGTGTGTATGTGTGTGGGGTTTTTTAAGTTTACGCTTTCACCTACGCATCCACCCACACAATCGCATATTTATTAACGGATTTTTTTAAAAATTGGTACCAAAATGTTGCAAATTTTTGGCGACGATGTGGTTTATTCAAGTGTTACACCTCCACCCACACGCATGCGCATTTATGGACCAATTTTCACGAAATTAGTACCAAAATATTGCAAATTTTTCTGAGAAAGCTGCTGTGTGGTTTTTTTAAGTTTTATCCCACCCACGCATGCATCCACGCATTCACACATTTATTCACATACTTTTTTGAAATTTGTAGTTAAATTTTGTTGGAGATGGCTACTATGATTTTAACAAATTTTTTCATCCTATTCATATTCATCCACCCACGCACCCATGCACCCATTTGCATACGCATTTATTGACTTGGTCACACCAAGAAGTAATTTTTAAAAAATTTGTGTACGTATTTGTGATTATGTGTGCAATTCGTGTAAATAAACCTTTAATTTGTATGCAATTTTCACGAAATTAGTACCAAAATGTTGCAAATTTTTGCAATCACAAACATGTACACAAATTTATTTAAAATTACTTATTGGTGTGACCAAGTCAATAAATGCGTATGCACATGGGTGCATGGGTGCGTGGTGGATGAATAGGATGATAAAAATTTGTTAAAATCATAGTAGCCATCCCCAACAAAATTTGAGTACAAATTTCGAAAAAGTCTGTGAATAAATGTGTGAATGCGTGGGTGAATGCGTGGGTGGGATAAAACTTTAAAAAACCACACAGCAGCTTTCTCAAAAAAATTTGCAACATTTTTGTACCAATTTCGTAAAAATATTGGTCCATAAATGCGCACGCGCGTGGATGAATGCGTGGGTGGAGGTGTAACAATTGAAAAAACCACATCGTCGCCATCTTCAAAAAATTTGCAACATTTTGGTACCAATTTTTAAAAAATCGGTTTATAAATATACGATTGCGTGGGTGGGTGCGTGGGTGGAGGCGTAAACTTAAAAAATAAAACACCAGCTTTGTCAGAAAAATTTGCAACATTTTGGTACTAATTTCGTGAAAATTGGTCATAAATGCGCATTCGCGTGGGTGGGTGCGTGGGTGGAGGTGTAACACTTGAAAAAACCGCATCGTCGCCATCTCCAAAAAATTTGCAACATTTTTGTACCAATTTCGTAAAAATATTGGTCCATAAATGCGCACGCGCGTGGATGATTGCGTGGGTGGAGGCGTAAACTTAAAAAAATAAAACAGTAGTTTTCTCAAAAAATTTGCAACATTTTGGTACTAATTTCGTGAAAATTGGTCCATAAATGCGCAAGCGCGTGGGTGGATGCGTGGGTGGGTGCGTGGGTGGGGTGTAACACTTAAAAAAAACCGCATCGTCGTTATCTCCAAAAAAATTTGCAACATTTTGATACCATGTGTTCAGAAATATTGCAAAAAAAGATTAAACATACCCTCCTCTGTAGAAAAAAAAAAATTAAAAAATTAAAAAAAAACCCCACAGCAGCCACCCCCAAAAAATTTGCAACATTTTGGTACCAGTTTCACGAATATCGGTCCACAAATGCGGAAGTAGTTCGCGTACATACATACAGACAGACGGTGCTTATATATAAGATAGATATAGAATGTAATTGATTGTTATGGGATAAACAAGTCACTTTTCATAGATACTTTAGACAACTTCACGTTTTCATTGTATATACGAAATTATCAACTATATCAAAATATTAAAAATGTTAACTTCATAGAGATAATTGACTTATCGTGTTAGACTACGAATTTAAGATTTGTATACCGATGGTGGTCGTTCTGGTTAAAAAAAAAGAAGCGGAATGCTCCGTACGAAATCAATTACCTTTGACTCTTAAAATATTTGACTATTAATGATGTGTTTGCAGTATGGTGGACAGCGGGTGCCTACAGCTTCATCTCCGGCGAATACTAACAGCAGCTCTAGTAGTGCCACTGGTAGCCAAAGTGGGACAATGAGCACGAGTCTCAGTAACAACGCTATGCAGGGTCAACAGGCGGAGCAGCTGTCCAAAACAAATCTATACATCCGTGGCCTCAATCAGAATACGACTGACAAAGACCTCGTTAATATGTGTTCTCAGTAAGTGGTGTTGTATTATATAGTAAGTTTGTTATACGCGTCATATCAATGCGTAATCGTTGATTCATCATAATTCTATCGGAAAGAACCGACAGCTTATCAGAAAAAATGAATATACTGTATAAATCAATATTAATTATAATTTATTCCAGCATAAATGACTATTGTGAAATTGTACATCTATTAGAGTATATTATAATTTTTATTAATTATTATATATCTTATATAACTTTTATCAATAGTTTTCCTCTTAAAATAAAAATATTAACAAATATTTAGGTTTAATATAAATATGTTACATCAAAATCTGATATTTTTGCAGATATGGAACTATAACTTCCACCAAGGCAATTTTAGACAAAAATACAAACAAATGTAAAGGTAATTAATTACACTTACATTCTTTATTTTAACCTAAGTTAATTTGTTATTTCAATACATTTATTTTGTTAACGTCGATTAATTAGCGTTGACTAAAAATTCTTAGAATACTATTTGTATTAGAGAACGCAATAAATATATAATATATATACTTGATATAAATAAAAGAAGTTCTCTATTATGCTTTCTTGTATGTAACAAGACTATCACTCGTGAAAAAAATCTTTCTTTACTTGAAAAAATTAAAATATAATTTTAACAAAAATAAATACGTCAAGAGTCTATCAATTATAAAAAAATAGTATATATATTTTATATAAAAATTTTCCAAGAAGAAATTGGTAAGATTTATATTGATTACAATGTTGCAGGTTACGGATTTGTAGACTTCGAGTCACCGATGGCGGCAGAGGGTGCTGTCAAAGCACTGGTCGCCAAGGGGATACAAGCGCAGATGGCGAAAGTGGGTATCTGGTTGCTCCGTAGACTGGACAGTGTACGTGGTTGTGCATGCAAGTACAGAGTAATACCAGAGTAACAGTAAACCTCTCTTTCTCTTCTTTCTCTTTCTCTCTATCTTTCTTTTCATTGTCGTTTCTATATTTTTTTATCCCATTCTATCCATTGCGTTTTATTGTGTTCTCCATACATTCCTTTTCTCACCCCCGGTTTATTCGCAGACTTCGGAGAGTCAATCAAGATAGATCGCACTCTCTTCGATCTTTACAAAAGAATGCGAAAACGCGCACGTTCGAATTTCTCTTTTGTTGTATGCAATATTGGAAATGTTACGCAACAACAATCAATGTTTCGATATACTACAATTGTTATTTTTAAACTTGGTACGTTTTTACGTTTAACGAATTAACATTATAAATCTAAGTTGAACATTTTTCTACGCAAGACATCGATTTGTACTTATTAAGTTCTATTAAGTTGTCACTTCGTATACAGACAGATTTATATCAGAAACGAAAAAATTTCGAAATCTTTTTTTTATAAATTCATTTTCTCTCTAGTTGCTTTATAGATGCTAAGAATCTCCATCTAATTTAAATCTAATAAAATATTTGGGGGGTTGTAATATATTTTTTCCACGAAGAGCCTCTCTCTCTCTCTTTCTCTCTCTCTTTCTTTCTCTCTCTTCTCTCTGTGTTTCTCTACTGTCTTTTTCATTTATCTAGAAATTCTCTCCGATACTTTGTCTGTAATTCTGTCTTACTCCTACCAGACCTCTCTATCGGTGTTTGCTGCTATACCTCGGCCACAAATACAGCCGATACTATGTTATGCCAACACTATGTTTACAATCGTCATGTCTGAGAATTGCATTCTGCGAATTTCGGCACTAATTTCGAGACCCCCCGCTATAAAGACACAATAATAACCCGTCGTCGACAATTCAATTTGTGTCAATCTGAATTTATATAATTAATTAATTACATGCTTGCAAGATAAATCGACAGTAATCTAATTTTTGTCTATCAATACCATCATTTTAGAGCTTGACGTAAAAAAACTTTATTCACGGAATTGTTGAAAGACTCGATAACAAAATTTGAAACAATTAAAAAAAAGAACGATATTGCATTGGAAGTATGGCAGCATAAGCGCGATCAGTAGTATAATTCTAGTAATGTCGATATATTGTGCAACGTTATGTTCTCCGTATTTGTAACATTAGTGATCCAAAGAGAGTATTAGCTTAAAAACTCGTATTGTGTTATACCAAATTAGATTCGATAATGTAATTGTTTATCTCTTTGCGATAAAGAAGATGGTGCTTCTTTATACGTTGTATTATATTAATTATCTTATTCGACCGAAATCGCAAAATGAGAAAAAAGAAAAAGAAAAAGCACACGCTGCCGAACGAGAAAAAAAAAGTATCGATCTTCCCCGCCTGTGTTTGTACCATTTACCCCATAAGACTAACTCCAAGTGGAATGGTTCCTCTAAACTGACCGCGGTAAAAAAAAGCACGGGGTGTGATGACCAGCAGCTGTGTGATGATAATGACGATGTCGATGGCATGCGATATGATATTATAACTAAAAGCGCGATATCTCTCATCGTATCTCTGTCTCCTCGATTAAAATCCTATATTCTTTCCCCTCAGGGATGCGCGGTATTATATTCGGATCAGGCGTTATCTTTCCTCGAAGGGGTGTTGGTTGACTCGTTGATTGACACGTACACTTATCTTACGATAATAAAAGTTTAATCTCTCAAGACGCCTACAAGGTGCATTCGGGAGCTTGGTCGTAAGATTCAAGTTTGACTGAATTATTTCATGTACTACATATGAGAAAAATCAATTGTGCCATATCAATTGTTAAATGTGAATACTCGTTGTATAAAAATAAAAATATAAAAATATATTTATTTTTATATTGCAGTTATCCTATATGCAGATTGTTATACATAACAGAGGATAAGTCATAGAAGTCACACGAGTAAAATGAATAGTCTGAATCAGATAAAGGGAAAAATGAGAAAATGTCATCGAGATGAAAAGTCAAGCTACTATCGAATCTTACGCAAAATTCCGAATGCACGAGTCGTATCTTCGACGAATCTGTATAAACTTTATCGGAATAAGAATACATTAAGAGAGTACATTTAAAATAAACAGCGGAAGCTTGATTATTCGAATGTTTTTGAACGATGCTAAAGAAAAAAACGTCCGATTATTCGAACAATGTTGGCCACTGAGAGAAAACATCGTTTAGGAATAATTGCACCGTTTTGACATCATCATTCAAATAATCAATTGTTAAATAACATTCGAACAATGGAGCTTCTACATCTGTGTTTGATCATCCATATATGTATATGCAGAATGTCGTAGAATGAATGGATTTGTGTGCGCGATGAATAACGCGATTAAATTCGCGTTACAGTGGAAAACAAGAGTCGATGGACCCGCGTGTTTATTTCCGAACAAGTCGTAAAACGATAATCTCGCTTCATTCTGCGACAGCTCGCATATATTTAAATGCCATCAGCCTGGCTTATATATCATGATATTTTCATTATTCGTTCTTTTGTTTTAATGCATTCGCAAGATTGAAGTAAATTGTCGTAAAGTATAAGTATACTCAAGTAATCGTAGATATTTTGATTGATTTATTATATGTTGACGGAGAAGTGGTGGCATCTCGAAATATGCTTGAGGGTGCATCAGTATATCATCCAAAATACGTACACAATATCTTTCTCTTCTGTCTCTTTTTCTTTAATCTTTTTCTCTCTTTATCTCGTCTTTTTTCAAGTTCATATTTTATTTTACTCTCTTTCACTTACTCTAACGGAATTGTTCAACGGCAAACGGAGCATGAACACATATGTATATGTACATCCGTGTCCACGTTCACATATACATATATTATGTGTTTTGTGCGACATGTGTTCGTCCAAAGTCTCGCTTTCTTTCTTCACGTCCGTTCATTAACTTACATAACTGTATATATACATATATGTATGTATATATGTATACGTAAAAATATCTGTGCTTTTTTATCACGCTTCACTTTCTCTCTCTTTTTCCCTCTTTTTCTACATCTTTCTCTTCTTTCCTTTCTTTCTCTCTCTATCTCTCTCTCTCTCTCTCTATCTCACTCTCTCTCTCTCTCTCTCTCTCTCTCTCTCTCTATTTCCAATGAAATGCCATTTGTTATTTGAACCTATTCTTTGTTACCGCTTTGAATGGTTATCTGTAAAGACGACGGAGACGGTTCTCGACACGTGTACATAATATATTAGAGATTTTTAATGGACACGGAGAGTTTATAGGTTTCGAGCTACATAATCCTTGAACCGGTACAGAAATTTTAATCCGCGTATTCCGGCGTTAATGCACATTTACCGGGGCGTGTCGGTTACACGCGTCACGAAATTTTTAAATACCGTCCGATGCAACTCGAGACGATCATTGCGCAAACGGCGCGTTTTGCATCAATAATTCCACTCCTACGTGCGCACAATAGCGTCGAATTTGTTCCCATTCCATGTCCGTGAAACGCGAACGAAATGTATGCACAGGCAATGTACTCTTATCGTTATCTCGTACACATATGTTACGAGAAACATATATATATTTCGTATCAATGAAAATTTGTCTGTAACTGCAGTAGAGAGAATTGTGATATTCTTTTTTTTATTATACAAATGTCTGACCTTTTTTTAACTCTCTTGTTTATTTTTATTTATTTATATTCATTACATATCTGATTTTTTTTAGCTGTGCTCACTCGCTCTTGTCTCTATTGTGCCTCTATTTCTTAAGGCTTATCCGTAGAAAACGACCCAATCTTCTTTCGATAGAGCTGGAGTCCTTTGACGCGAGGATTGTTAATGACTGTATAACGATGTGTATGTGTAGATTTATCTAATATCTTATTCTCGTGCGAGCATGCTCCGCACGAGAAGGATACAAATTCGAGAGAATCGAATTTTTTTAGCAATATAGCGTATATATATTTACATATATATATATATATATATATATATATATGTATATGTATATGTATATGTATAGATATTTGTTAGCCGAGAGAGATAAATCGAATGCATCCTAAAAGCAAGCAAATTTAGAGAGCCACCAGAATGTGGTAATGAAATTGCCATGAAGCATGATAACCTCCCGACATTGAGAATAATAATTATCTTTAATACGGTTTCACGTTGCGATATCGGTCTTCAATATAAAACCCTCCCATTCGTTCTACTTTGCGCTTGTTTCGAAATTTAGATGATGATTCCTAATATATAGTTTCACGATCTTTTCGTAGTGTATCAATGTATTTGTAGAAACGTTTGATTGTACTTCGACGAGGCTCTTTTACCGTTTACTTTTCGCTTTTTTCGAGATTACAATTAGATTACGTCTTGTTCTTTTTGTTTTCCGAGAATTAATATCTTTCCGTGTATTATTATTATTATTATTATTATTATTATATATTATTATATATTATTGTTATTATTATTATTATTATTATTATTATTATTATTATTATTTTAATCTTATTATTCGGCAAAACTTGCAATATCATTTTAACGTTCCAGACTAAGAAAAAAATCACGTAATCATACATGGCACCTCATTCGTCGCAAGATTCTCTCTATTATTTATCCATAGTTTCATATCAATTTATGATAATCTAAAAATAATGATTTCTCTATATTGTACGGATATTTCTGAAATATAAAATTGAAGAAATTTTGCAGGCGTGTCAAGTCGAGTTTCGAGTCTGTAAATCGTTTCGCCTGTGCATCCATTTGTAATCGTGATGAAAAATATGTAATAAATAAGCGGCGATATATACAAGTCGTGGAAGTTAAAATGATAGTCCGCTCAGATTTGTTTGCAAATCTCGATATATTCATCTTATTGCTCTGTTACACAAGTAATTGCATAGTGTCTTTACTCTCTTCCCAGCAACAGGAGCAGGACCCCACCAATCTGTACATTGCCATCTACCGTTGACCTTCAAGGAGAATGACGTCGAGGCGTTACTGGCTCAATACGGACAGGTCATTTCAACTCGCATCCTCCGCGACACTTCGGGTCAAAGCAAAGGTGTAGGATTCGCAAGGTTCGTATAAAATTCATGATATGCTGATAGTCACATTGGTACTGATTTCCCTTGAGAGCTTGCGTTTGCAAGATTCGTCTGTCTTGTTTTAAAAAAAAATAATTTGTATATTGCATCATTTTCTTATATTATTTCGTGTTATAGTACGATTTAAATTGTCATTTAATATTATAATTATACAATTGTATGCATACTAATATTAATTGCTTCAGAACTTGAGAGTGGATCGATATTTCTAATAACTGTTACAGAATGGAATCTAAGAAAAATGCGAGCAATCATCCAGATGTTTAACGGAAAGGCGCTGCCAGGCGCAAAGGATCCATTATTAGTCAAGTTCGCTGATGGTGGAAATAAGAAAAATCGTTGTTCAAGAATACAATATGGAGAGAAACCGGAGAAGTACGTATTTTATTTCATCGATGCAAAAAGGTCTTGTAAAAAATAATCCCGATAGAATTACGCACGTTACGACAGTTTACATTGTTTCTTCGCATTTTTCAGAACATGACTTTGAATTACGACACGAGCGGCGTCGGCCAGAACGGCGTTGCTGCGACTCACATGCTTCCCGCGGCGACCTGACGCAGTAAGCCGTCCTACGGCCAGGCATTGCCTGGTTACAG